AACTCCCAATTTAACAAATTCCAACTAGTGGGAAGCCTCAAAATTAGACTGAGGCAGGCTCCGTTAAATGCGGATGTGCTACCTCAGACTTAGAGCCACAGGAAGCACAGGGCAATAATTAGTTCATATTTTGAAATAGCAGCACCAGAGGGACCACACTACCATTATCTGAAATGACTATTTATGAATTAGTGTTATTCCTGATGAAAAGCAGAAGTATAGATTTTGAATTCTGAGGCCTTCTATTTTGAAATAACGGGTTTGATAGTGTGATGCTCCACTTATAAATTCAACTGTGGGGGAGGAGGGAGAGGGTTATTTTGAAATAAAGTCCTAGTGTAAACCAGTGCTTTCTTAATAACTCTCAAACCCACAAAGTACTTTCAGGAAGGCTAAATGACTACTTCTAGTGCAAGTATTTTGAGAGAATACAATTGTGAATGTGTTTATGATGATCACATTCCTTCACTAAATATTCTTGTTAACCCAAGATCAGATACAATGTTTGTGAAAAACTAATAAGAAGAGCCTTGAATACTTGCCAAAATGACTAAATGGCCTTTATTTGACTAAATGTTTGTAAATATGTTTGAGGTATTAGACCTGCTCCAGTAAACATCAACAAGGCTTTTGAGATCCCAGTTTGTTTTATACTTTGCTACAGTAGCACTCCTAGCTTCATTTGATTTTGGAAAACCAAATGTTTAATGCATGAATCAAAAGTCTCAGTGCTCAAAGGCACATCTGACACATTTTTCAGCCCTGCATTTCCTTTCACTAGAGATGGGGGAAACAGAGACAGCCAATTCAAACTGTTTTGAATTTCTGGGTGAGGTGAACAAAGATTCAGATCACCAGGTCCAGCATAGCCTTTATTGTTTAGTACTCAATTGGATACAAAAGAAAAAAGGGACCTATTTTTCCAATGGCAAACTTTCTAAAACTTAAGAAATTCCTGGAAATGCTATTCATGTACTAAACCTGCAAGTAGAGTATCTACATAAATATTATTGGCCAATGAATAGCATTTCACTGGTGATTAATATAGCCTCTGAACACCCCATAAAGGAGGGGCGTATTAGCCCTGTTTTACAGATGAGGAAACTGAGGTACAGAGAAGTGAAGTGAATCCTCTAGTGTCACACACAAACGCTCTATCAGAATCAGGAATGAAATCCAGATGACCTGACTCTTGCTCCTATACCTTAACAAGGGATTCTGGTTCTTCATATTATGACTAAATGTAGTTTCTACCTCAGGAGTGTGTTAGGTGTCCATTGAGATTACAGGCACCATCCTTATGTTATCAGTTAACTGAATGTGTAATGAAGCATAAATTAGTGTCAAAACCTTTTGGTAAGACAGAGACCCCCTCATGCACAGACCCTGTTTACCTCAATTAAGTTCATTATAGGTGTGTGGATTGGGCATAAATATTCAAGGTGAGGCTCTTAGGAGAGGGATGATCTTCCTGAAACTTAGTATCTACTGGAGACCTCTGGGCTGAGTGAGAAGGCTCTACACTATCCAGAATCTACCTGGGTCTGACTAGTTTAGAAGAAAAGTTACCAAAGGCCAGCTTCGGAGAGACGGCTTAAAATTCAGGCAGCTGCTAGAGCCTATGCCAGAGCTCCCACTGGTGGACTGGCACTGGTGGTAGTGCAATGGTGAGGCTAGATTTCAATATGAAACTAGACAATATTTACTGGTGCAGAGGAAAATCATGAGAGGCCCACAGAAGGAACAAGAACACTGGGCAGGCATAATTCAAATCAGAGTCTACTAGGGTGTTGCACCCTCTGCTTGCTACACTCTCCGACCTCCTTCTCTCTGGGGGTAGGTGTCCGGCTGGGGGGCGGGTGCAGGAGTGGGTTTGGGGGCAGGGTGTCTGACTGGGGCGAGGGGGCAGGAGCAGGCTGGGCTAGGTGTCTGGCCAGGAGGGAGGGGGCAGGAGCAGGCCGGGGTGCAGGATCTCAGCAAGGTGGTAAGTGAGGGGGCTGGGTGTGTGGGGTCTCAGGTTGGAGCACATGAGTGAGTGAGCTGGGAGTGTGGGGTCTCAGTTCAGGGTGTGTGTGGCGGGGTTGGGGGTGCAGGGAGGTGGGAGGCCTCACGGATCCCAACCCCTCCCCTGGAGCATCGGGGGGGGGGAAGGAGGCTGCACAGCTCTGGTCCCCCCATGAGGGAAACAGTGCACAGCTCCTGGGCCCCCCTTGAGAGTGGGAGGGCACACAGCTCCCAGCCCCGCCCAGAGGGAGGAGGTTGAGCTGCTCCCGGCCCCTTCCCTCAGAGAGGGGAGGGTGCATGGCTGCTGGCCCCCTCTTAAACACAGAATGTATGTGTTAAAGTTATAGTTCAAAGCCATACCACATCTGGGGGGCCCAGGAGCTGCAAGCCCTCCCCCCTTGCAGGGGGCTTGGAGCCGCATGCCTTCTCCCTCCCTGGCAGGCCGGGAGCCACTCAGCCTCCTCCCTCTTGTTGGGGGAAGAGAGGAGGGCATGCGACTCCCAGCTCCTCAGAGTGTGGGAGACCTTGTGGTTCCCAGCCCCACCAGAGTGGGGGGAGAGTGTGCAGTTAGTTCCTTGGCTCCCCACGAGGTGGGAGAGCATGTGGCTCCCGGCCCCTCCTGGACGTGGTATGGCTCTGACCTGGAACTTTAATACATACATACCCTCTGCTTTTAATTTAACAATGCACTTTTCTTAATGATACAACAAAGGTCATTGGTAGAAATTACATTTTAAAGAAAGCAGTTCGTTGTGAAACACCTTATGGACTTCAGTGGTGATACACACTGAGAGAAAATGCCTTCAAAATATACTTTACAAACCCTTTCTAGAGTCAATAAGTCCCATTTTCAGGCATGACTTGTCAATGCATCTTAGGCACTTCTGAAAATGTTACCAATAGTGCAGTGTGTAAGGGTGACACAAATGTGGGTCAGGTAGAACTGGCCAGGAATTTTCCATTGAAACATTTGTTTGTTGGAAAATGCCAATTCCTGTACACCTACAGTTTGAATTCTGCTAAACACAGGCATACTTCTGGTTTCCTTCCAGCTCCCCTGGTAGGTTGCTGGTGAGCTGGTCTGCCAGTGGCTGCAATTTCTGGCTAGCGGCTGACAGTTAGGGCTAGGGTTTCCAGCTTCCTGATATGCAGCTAAGAGCCTAGGAGTCCTAGCACAAACCATCGAATAACAATTTAAATAGAGGCACATCTTACTACTACTGCAAAGGGCTGCATAATGTGTAGGTCTAGGTGTTCAAAACCCATTCAGCAGCTGTACATCTTTGAGATAGAACATACATTTTATATAAAATATTCAAACAATCCGACAGGGCTTTGAGAAAAGAACTAATGTACATGGGTGGAACTAGTATGTCAAATTGTGAGGCTTTAATTGTATTTTTTAATAAAAAATATATTTTTTTTCTAATGTTCAAGGGACATCCAACTGTTTGTATAAAAACAAAGTTTTCTTCCTTGCCTATAATTTAGCACTGTAGTTAGCTAAATCATGCTTTTAATATTTTTTTTAAATGAAAGAGGGTAAAAAAATGGTTGTTTCAGTAATGATTATTACTAGAGACATTGGTTCTGAAATAGTCTGAAAGAGAATGCAAGCTCAGTCTTGGACTCTAATTCTGTAAGGTGTCAAGAATAGAGAGCTAAGCTCTTAGCAGACTGGACCTTTAACATGTTAATAATGCAGTAAGGGTACCAAACAGATGAATGTGATATTAGAATAAAAAAGCTAAACAGGATTAGAGTAAAATTAGAGTAAAAAAACTAGCCAGAATTCTGCTAATTAAAATTATGAATCTTAATTATACTAAAATCTTGCAGACTTAAATACACTAACTATCAAAATAAGATGGAAATAGAAAGAATGCAATCCCTCACTGGCTACTATGTTCTAGCTACTATGCTTTAACAAGGAGAAAGCTATGTTTGTGACTCTCCTCTTATATTTATTAAACTAAGTATTTTCACTCAGGAGAGTTCTCTTCCTTGGAGGATGGCACAGATCTCACACACTTAAAACCTCTAGACTATAACAACTGCATCATGCAACAGGTGGGTTGCCAAATGAAGGGCGTCATCTTGCAAACCTTGTGTGGGTAAGTCCTATTGAGTTCAATATGACTTCTTGCTTGAGTTGGGACTTGTCATTGAATAAGCATTTCCAGGGAAGAGGTCCAAGGTCAGACACTGAGCACTTCAAAATCTCAACATTTGAGCGACAGATACCCTAGGGCACAATTGATGAAGAGTCTGCCTTTTGACACCATTATCTGCCTTCTGCATTTTTTGTCCTCCTGGGCCTTGCCTCTTAAGGCTGCAGTGTAGACATTAATTCCTTTAGTGATTTAGGCAATCCTGGGAGGTAGTAGTTTGCCATAAAAAGGGCTGCTTTAATGACCACCAATTTGCTAATTCCTTTTTGCTCGTGTTATCCTCAAATAAAAAATGCTGTGACACAAGAAATCCATGGAAAGAGTCTCATTAGGCCACATTGACTGAAATTGAAATAGGATTAGAATAGCTGGAGCCACTTCAGATGATGAATGGAAAATCTGAACGTACATTAATGAGCTTCATTCACAGGGTACTGATAGTACATATTTCTATCTATTGGAATAACCAGATAGGGCCACATCAGTGGAAACAGAGGGCATATAATATGAAAAAGCTGCATTCTTTATATAGACTGTATTTTATAAAACACAGATATACTAAACACCAGTATAAATTCAGCCTCATCTGGGACCTGATTCAGTGCCCATAGAAGTTGGTGGAAATGTTTTTGCTTTGGACCAAGCCGTCAGGACTTGATTCTTCTCCAATTGAAGGGAGTTTTTCTATTGCCTTTAAGGGGAGCAGGATCAGGTCCTTACTACATAGAAAAGGGGTGAGGGTCCTTTTTTCAGGCAGGGACCATTGACCCACAGAAAAATTACTCAAGGGCCACACACAAATGAGAAGCAACCCCCCAAACCTACCTGTAAATCTCATTTGCATTCAACGTGGGGGCACTGGGGCTCCGCTCATTCTCCAGCCTCACAGGAGGCGGGCCCAAAGCTCTAGGCCTGAAGGAGGTAGGGAGAACACCAAGGTTCAGGATTTCCAGCTTACTGTGCAGAGACTTGCCATAAGCTGGACCAAACTAAGCAGAGAGCTGGATCTGGCCCACAAGCCGTGGTTCCCCACTCTGCTGTACATTTGGTAACTATCCCAATCTGTGTTGATATATGTGGATATTTCAACAGTGCTCCCAAAAGTTCAGTTACTAGGTTTCAATATGGTAAAACAGAATAATGAATAAAATTTACTTTTCAAAGGGATTGAATGTAGTAATCAAAACAACAATTAGTTCATGATTTAGGATACAAAATTAGTTTCCTTCAATTACAATCCTTTTGTGCAACTGTCTTTTCTAAATATGAAGTTTAGTCACAAACTTCAACCATACATTTTTGTAGCGAGGGTGAAATTGGCTTTGTTCTGATTATCAGTTCCTTATTTTATGTATACACTGTCCTAAATAACGTTGATGGAAAGAAATAAAAACTGAAACAGCTTTTAGAGCCAATTTAATTAACTAATTGAGAATACAAATGAGTTACTTTCAGGAAAACTTTCTTGTACATTACAGAACAAACTAACAGGAATGAATATCCTATGTAAATACTACATTAATATAGGCACTTTTTTGTACATTTAAAAGGGATAGAGTCCAGTGAAACATTCAGATATGAAATCAGCATTCCGTATGTTGAGTTGCCATAGGCTTTAATCGGTTCTTTACAGGCTCAGTTCACAGCCCGCACTTTATAAATCAGAGAAAGCAACTTGTTTATCAGACATTAGAATATGGAGCTAGCCATGCAGCTGTTAGACTATGATGAGTAACAGATGCAGGACGGACAACACACTTCTCTGCACATTGGGCAATGTATGCGTGCGGAGTGGGGTGGGGGCTCAGCTCCAGGCCTGGCGGAGGGGGTGGGATGAGGGACAGCCAGTCCTCAGCACTGCCCAGACCATGGCAGACAGGGGTTCTCGTGGTGATTTAAAGGGCCTGGAGCCCTGGCCACAGCTACTGCTTTGGTAACAGCAGGGACAACCTGTAACCCCAAATCCTTTTAAATCACAGGGCCCCGGGTCAACTGCCCTTTTGTCATCCCCTCCCCCTGCACAGTCGGCGGCCCTGCTTAAACGCATTATTCATGATCAATGTGACTAGTTAAAGTGCATGGCTAATATCCTATTTTAAGACAAGATGGAAGGAAATTACATAGTATGATTAAAAGCCTGCATTTGGATGAACTTGGCTAAAAACAAGACAATGTTTGGTGACAGAAGGGAACATGATTAGCCATAGCCAATTACATCATTTTATCATTCATTTATTGTGTAATGTTGTGATTAACTAACATCATGTCATACATAATCATTGCATGCTAAATAAAGTTAAGTTTCAGGATTATAGGGGCATAAGATTGATTAGTAGTTAGGTATTAGGTATCAAAGGGTATGTCTACACTAGCCCCCTAGATCGAACTAGGGAGGCTAATGTAGTCATTCAAAGTTGCAAATCAAGCCCAGGTTTTAAATATCCCGTGCTTGATTTCCATCTTCCCGGCCAGGCACCATTTTTTGAAATGTACAAGCCTGGAATAACTGCCCACATCTACATGCGGCAGTGAAATGGGCGTTAAAAATAAAGCTCTAGTTCGAACATCCTGTTAAACCTCATTGCAGGACGAAGAACAGGTAGTTCGAAATAGGGCTTTATTTCGAACACCCATTTCAATGCCACGTGTAGACGCGGGCAGTTATTCCAGGCTTGTAAATTTCAAAAATGGTCCCCGGCCGGGAAGATGCAAATCAAGCATGGGATATTTAAATCCCGGGCTTGATTTGTAATTCCGAATGTCTACATTTGCAGCCCTATTCTGAAATAGGTTGCAAGTGTAGACATACCCTTAGGGAACTTAGAATGCATAGAAATTTGTGGATAAGAGAAGCAAAAAACAAGGTATATAATAAAAATCAATTCTTCATCTCGGAGTACTTACAATTCTTTCACTTGCATACACTCCAAAGTCAGTAAAAGTATAATTAATAACGAGCTTGTGTGCAAGAGAGGTTATAGATCAGGGGTGGGCAATAATTTTTGCAAGGGGTCACTTCCCAAATTTTGGCACGTGGTCATGGGCTGGCTCCAAACCACCTGGAAGAGGCAAGGCCTCGGGCTGAAGGTGTGAAACTGAGGCTGGAGAGAGAGAAAGTGTAAGTGTAAGAGTGTGTGTAAGATGGGAGAGTGTGTATGTCACAGACACACTGTGGTACAGAATGGCTGTGTGCTGGCTAAGTTTGAGAAGCCACACTGTCTCGAAGGGAAATCTGTTCTGTTCTGTTGTCTCCCCTCACACCCACTCCTCTGAGTCACATGCATCAGACTGGAGCAGCTCTGAAGACTATCTCCTTCTACAATCCCTGCTCTGCAAAGATGGGGTACAGGGGCAGGGGAACACCATGACTTCAGAACTCTCCTCTCCCTTCCACAGCTAGCAGGAGAATTCTGAAAGCAACTCTGTTGCAGGACAGAGCAAGGGGGGGAGGAGCCACGGAACACAGGCTATGGCCTGTAAGTATGCATCTCTGCTAATCAGCTGGGTGGGCCAGAAATGCTTGGCAGGCCTGGGTTTGCCCGCTCTTGTTATAGATGTGCATGACATCTTGTGCTACATATATCCACTTTTTCCGAAAATGAAAATACAGTGTTGGGTGCAGTTGACTCAATAAAATGTAGGTAATTTGTGTAACCAAAGATTGCTACCTTTTAGAGAAACCGTTTGAAGCAGCAGCTATTTAAAAACAGGTTCATGTTTTCATTGGGAAAGAAATAAAAACTGAAACAGCTTTTAGAGCCAATTTAATTAACTAATTGAGAATACAAATGAGTTACTTTCAGGAAAACTTTCTTGTACATTACAGAACAAACTAACAGGAATGAATAGCCTATGTAAATACTACATTAATATAGGCACTACATTTAAAAGGGATAGAGTCCAGTGAAACATTCAGATATGAAATCAGCATTCCGTATGTTGAGTTGCCATAGGCTTTAATCGGTTCTTTACAGGCTCAGTTCACAGCCCGCACTTTATAAATCAGAGAAAGCAACTTGTTTATCAGACATTAGAATATGGAGCTAGCCATGCAGCTGTTAGACTATGATGAGTAACAGATGCAGGACGGACAACACACTTCTCTGCACATTGGGCAATGTATGCGTGCGGAGTGGGGTGGGGGCTCAGCTCCAGGCCTGGCGGAGGGGGTGGGATGAGGGACAGCCAGTCCTCAGCACTGCCCAGACCATGGCAGACAGGGGTTCTCGTGGTGATTTAAAGGGCCTGGAGCCCTGGCCACAGCTACTGCTTTGGTAACAGCAGGGACAACCTGTAACCCCAAATCCTTTTAAATCACAGGGCCCCGGGTCAACTGCCCTTTTGTCATCCCCTCCCCCTGCACAGTCGGCGGCCCTGCTTAAATGCATTATTCATTATCAATGTGACTAATTAAAGTGCATGCCTAATATCCTATTTTAAGACAAGATGGAAGGAAATTACATAGCATGATTAAAAGCCTGCATTTGGATGAACTTGGCTAAAAACAAGACAATGTTTGGTGACAGAGGGGAACATGATTAGCCCTAGCTAATTACATCATTTTGTCATTCATTTATTGTGTGATGTTGTGATTAACTAACATCATGTCATACATAATCATTGTATGCTAAATAAAGTTAAGTTTCAGGATTATAGGGGCATAAGATTGATTAGTAGTTAGGTATTAGGTATCAAAGGGTATGTCTACACTAGCCCCCTAGTTTGAACTAGGGAGGCTAATATAGGCATTTGAAGTTGCAAATCAAGCGCGGGATATTTAAATCCCGGGTTTGATTTGCAACTTGGAATGCCTGCATTAGCCTCCCTAGTTCGAACTAGAGGGCTAGTGTGTACGTGGATCTAAGGGTGAATCTACACTGCACCCGTAGGTCAAAATAAGATACACAATTTGCGTAGCTCAATTGTGTATCTTATTTCGATCTAATTTTGTTCAAAAGACATGGAATAGCTATTTCAGGATCCCTCTGGAATCCCAAAATAGTGGCACAGTCTAGATGTATCCTGAGTAAGTAGGGCTGAAATACAAGGCCTACAGGCTGAGGCTTTCAAGATTTTAACATACCCATACTTGACTATAGGCTAAAGAAATTCTTGACATAAGTAACTGACCAAAGAATGACACTATGCCACAAAATTATGGGAATAGATCAGTGGTTCTCAAACTCTTTGACCCATGGACCACCTGGCTCAATGTAAACCTCTCCACAGACCATCAGTTGCTAATGGAAACTCACCATTAATTACATAATTATGTCTGAGCCATTTTGTTAGTGCTGGAGCTAAGAAGAATGGTCTAATTTAAATTATTAAACAGATTAAGCATTTTAATTTTCTCGTGATAGTTTATGAAACTTCATTTTAAATAAAGTAAAATACTAATTTATGTCCAACACAAAAAGCTTCAATGTTTTCTTACTTTATGGCAGGTGTGGAGAACCGTTTTTGTGTTGGAGGCCACTAACCCACAGAAAAATCAGTTGGGGACCACACAAGTGAGAAGCAAAAAAACTCCTCCAAAAACCCCCAAACCTCATTGATGTGGCCTCCAACTGACACACCTCACTTCTCTGGCAGTCCAGCCCCCACAAGGGGAAGGGACAGGAAGGATTGAGGTTCAGGGTTTCTGAAAGGACAGATTTACTTTTCTGGGGTTCTGGTGTTAGTGGATTTTATGGACCCCCTTAGACTCTGGGGTGGGGACAAAAATGAGGGGTTCAGTATGCAGGACAAGGCTGCCACTGAGTGGGATATGGATAGGGATAGAGTGCAGGATCTGTGAGGGAGGTGGGTGCAGAAGGGGGGAAGAGGTTGCACGGTCTGGGTGGGAGGTAGGGTGCAGAAGCAGGCTGGGAGTAGGGCATCTGGCTAGGAAAAGGGAGCAGGAGCAAGGGAGGATTCAGTGTGTGGCCAGGAAGGAGGGTGCAAGGAGTAATGGTGAATGCAGAAGCAGGGTGGGGGTAAGTGTCAGGCCAGCGGAGGGTGCAGAAAGGGGTTTGAAGTAGAGTGTCTGGCCAGGAGGGAGGGTGTAAGGAGTATCTAGTCAGGGACAGGGGATGAGGCAGGAATGACTGGAGATAAAGCTGGAGGGCAGAGTGGCTCAGAGGGGTTCAGGGAAATAGGGGAACGGGATGGCTGGGCATGGCACAGTGAGGTGGGGGTGGCGGATGGGTCACCCTGGGATGTCCAGCTCTGCTGGGAGTGGGGTCCTGTGCGGGTCCAGCCTATGTTGACCTAGGGGGTAAGCACTGAGGCGGCTCGACCCCTCCCTCCAGACCGAGTCCCCACAGGTGCAAAGCCCCCAAGGGCCCCAAGCCTCCACCTGCATCCTGCATGTGTGGGCTCCTCAGCCCCAGTCCCACCTCTTCCCCCTGCCACGTGCAGTGCAAACTAACCTGTTGCCAGGGAAGAGGAAGGGCACCAGCCACTCGCACACCATGAGCGCCCGCCCCACCCGGCTGGCCCCGCACAGCCCAACCTGCTGCCTGCCCTGTGACAGCAACCGAGGGAAGTGCCACTGTTACCATGGCAACTGCAAGCTTAGCATGGCTAGGTGAGGCAGACACCCAGTAGTGGGTAGAACTTTCCCATGGAAGGGGGTGGGGCAGTGCTTTACCACTGGTAGCTCTGCGGCCTGCATGGGGGGCAGTGAGTTTCTTTTTTTCACCTTTCTTACCTGCACTTCATGTACCCTCCAAGCCGGAGCTAGTGCTGCAGCCTTGCAGCTGCACACCAACCACCAAGCTCCAGCAGCAGTGCAGGCTTCCCGCTCCATGTGTGGGGCTCTGAGCTCCAGCCACAGACCACCTGGGAGGCAGCCTTGGACCTCTAGTGGCAGTTTTGTTCCAAAAACAATACACTACCACTCTCAAACTTTTAATATCACTAGCTATTATTGAATAAATCCAGACACTTCTAATTGCTTTCCTAGCATGCTGTGTTTCTCTTGTGCTACTGCTGTTGGAAATTCTGCATGACGTAGATAAATCTCAGAGGGGTAACCATGTTAGTTTGTATCTGCAAAAACAATGAGGAGTCCTATGGCACCTTAGGGACTAACAGATTTATTAGGGCATAAACTTTTGTGGGTTAAACCCATTTCATCTGATAATCTGATGAAATAGATTTTACCACAAAAGTTTATGCCCTAATAAATCTGCTGGTCTCCAAGGTGCCACAGAACTCCATGTTGATGATGTAGAGAAATATACTTAACAACCCTTATGACACTCTTGATTTTATACACACCTCAAGGAGGACAAATACTCGTCTACTTTTCCCCTTGAATTATGATACCCAGGACCAATGGTTGCTCTGTTTGCACTCCATCTTATAATGGATCTCTGGGGAAAAAATTATGGCCCTAGACTGCCCCATCTCATCATTAAGTTGTCGACAGAGCATGATGCATGTCTCTGTGATCTGTCCTCACTGACATGGGGTCCCTTCCCCATCAGCACGCTGGTCAAATCCCACGCTATGAAAGGGACTTTGCAGAAAAGTGATGGAACTAAAGGTGTCAACATAAGTGATCGCAAGCTAGTTGGGAGAAGAGACTGTCTTTTTGTTCATAGTTTAGCCTTATGGAGTCCTCTTCTATGACTAGAGTTCTTAGGCTCTATAACAGGGGTGGGCAAGATAGCTTCCATGGGCCGCATCCGGCCTGCAAAGCTGGTTGATCCAGCCTGCAGCCACCCTCTCACTCCTCTGCCTCAAGGCCAATCGAGACTTTGGGATGGGGAGTGCACAAAGTCTCAGCTCTCTGCCAGATACGCACAGCACCAGAGGGAACTACCAGCTGTTCAAAACAGTTGGCGGTTCTCTCTAGCCACTGTGCACCCTGGCAGGATAGGGGCTGGGGGTCAGAAAATTCACGTTCCCCACCCCAGGCCCTGATTGGCCTGGGGGAGAACATCAAGTCTCCTTCCATGCCAGGGGCACATGGCTCCTAAACTGAACTGTCAGCTGTTTAAAACAGCTGGTGGTTCTCTCGCACACCTAGCAGGGTGGAAGGGGCGGGGGAGAAGAGGTACAAAGACTTCATGCACTCTACCACCCCCAGGCAATCAGGATCTGTGGGTGGAGGAACAGTGGAAGCCTCCTGCCCTTGCCCCTTCTGCCCAAGGCCCCGGCCCTTCTGGGGATGTCCATGACCACTTCCAAAATTTGTGAAGTGGTCCTCTATCAAAAATTATTGTTCATCCCTGCTCTATAGCAGCTTATATTAGAGAAAGCTTAATCCATGATTCTTCTGTCAGTTCTTCCCTTCATATTTTGGAAAGGAGGATGTGGAATCCTCATCTTCCATTCATGGATCCTCCTCTTTCTTAATTCTTAATTATTATTATTATTATTAATAATAATAATAATTAAGAATTAAGAAAGAGGAGGATCCATGAATGGAAGATGAGGATTCCACATCCTCCTTTCCAAAATATGAAGGGAAGAACTGACAGAAGAATCATGGATTAAGCTTTCTCTAATATAAGTGCAACTTGCTTGCAAACTACTGGAAATGTAAATGTTGAACCAGAAAAACATGTGCTGCATGTTTCAGTGAAACCTGATAACAAACATGAAAATAGGGAAATTCCATTTCTAATGAAGTATAAAGCAAATATCAAATTGTTTCAGTGCATTGTGAAGTGTAAGCTACAATTCCAGCTACTGTGGCTTTCTCTAATATAAGTGCAACTTGCTTGCAAACTACTGGAAATGTAAATGTTGAACCAGAAAAACATGTGCTGCATGTTTCAGTGAAACCTGATAACAAACATGAAAATAGGGAAATTCCATTTCTAATGAAGTATAAAGCAAATATCAAATTGTTTCAGTGCATTGTGAAGTGTAAGCTACAATTCCAGCTACTGTGAACATTT